CTGGATCACTTAACTTTGAAACAAATTAGTCATTTCAAAACTGTGTGCCCAGAGGAGTGAGGCAGTGACTATTCACTGCAGACACAGACCTCACTACAAACAACTCTGAATGTCAACTGGCGTGAGTATATGAAATACTAAAAAGCACATAAAAATTATTTCTTGTTATTACCAAATGTTTAAAGTACATAAAAATTACTACTTGTAATCACCAAGTTTTATATACGCATACACAAAAGGACACTTCATCTGTCTCATTAAAATATGGAAGCTTAAATATTTTTGTTTAATGCTAGTATTTTCTACAGACAGAAAACTGCATTAAGTAATGTAGCAATTATGTGACACTGGAATGAGGGGAAATACTCAGACATCTACTGTAACTTTTCACAACTGATTAGTTTAATTTGAAAAAGAACATTAGAGGGAAGGGAGTTTATGCTAACAATTCTGAATACACCACAATAATAAGATGCAAACGCTTGACACAAGTTATTGTCATTGAACATTTAAAGCATGAGTTGTTTATTAGAGTCAAGAGTCTCGATGTTATTTGACTTTCAGTGAACACTTGGATCTCCAGCACGTACCACATGGGGCTAGGTGCTTTCTGGAACCTCGATTATATATATGCCTGCCTTTACAGATGAGGCAGCTTTGGCTCAGCCAAATCAAACTATATAGATTTCAAAACCAGAAATGCTGAATGAAGCCTCACCATGGCATAATTTCCTACTAAAACAGACAGGTATCATCCTTTTTAAACTACATAAAATGTTAAAGACTCAAAGTTGACCTTCTATAACAAACACAACAGTCTGCTTTTCTGTGTAACTACAAAGCATTACCACAATTTAAAAATTCAACTGAGAGTTCTTAACCATGGATTACTTGCATAACAAAAAAAAAAAAAAAAAAAAAAAAAAAAAAAAAAAAAAAAAAACCAAACACAAGGCTGTCAAACTATAGGATTGTAAAAATACCATACAAAACACAAACTAATATCCTTAAAAGAAAAAGTAATTACCAGTATGAAAAACTGGAGGTCTACTTAATCAAGATCATCAAGCAGACACTAGCAAAGTTCAAGATTAACAGAAAACACAGGCAAGACCCGGAGTTATTTAATTATTAGATTATAAAATCAAATGAATGTAAGAGTTCCCTGAGAACAAAAGCCCTCTAATTCATTCCCAACCAGTAGGAAACTGGTTAAAAGTTGGACAGGCAAGCTAAATTCAACCGAACAGATCATTTTACGACCTAAACTATTGTTAATAACACCTAATGAAAATGAAATTGAAATTGCCTGAAACTTATGCTCAACAACCATGGCTGGATAGCCAACTCTTTGAAGGCAATTTAGGCATATACCAGACAAGCATATTTATATACTATGATCCCTTTGGAAATAAATCCCAAAGAAATATTCCAAATTGGCATTTTAATAAGGAAGGAAAGCTACCGAGATGTTCAACAGATTTTTCAACCAATTTTACAATTGCTGAAAAAGGTTAAAAACAAAGATTGAAAGGCAGGATGTAACTTGGTTACTGAGTACTTGCCTAGCATGTGCAAGGCCCTGGGTTCAATCATAAGTACTACATTAATTAAAAAAAAAAAAATCTCTTCCTAAATTCCACTCCCATCTTCCCCCAGCCCAAGCTGACAACACACAATAGTCAGAACGATGTTCATAAACTTAGGTCAGATCAAGTCTCTCTTCTACTCTAGAACCTTCCAAGGGTTCCCAATTTCATTCAAAGTAGAATCCAAAGGTTTAACTATAGCATACACAGTCTCATAAGGACCCCAGTTACTTCTCTAATCTCAAGCCCTCTCACTTTCCCCTCCTTGCTTATTGTTTGTCAACCATACTGGCCTTCTAGCTGTTCTCAAAAAGGCCATCTAGGGAGCTGGAGAGATGGCTCAGTGATTAAGAGTGCTGGCTGTTCTTGTAGAAGACCCAGGTTTGATCCAGCACCCACATGGTGGATAACAAACCATCCCTAACTCTACTTTCAGGGGAATTTGACGCCCTCTTCTGTCCTACAAAGGCATTGCACAAGTGCACTTACACATATGCAGGCAACACACTCATACACATTAAAAAAAATTAAAATAAATTTTAAAAAATACATTTTTAAAAGGCCATCCAGGTACCCTTGGGGTCTTCAGACTTCAAAGTCCTTTCTGCCTGTACCTTTCCACCCAGGACAGCATCTATCCCTCAGTTGCTTCAGGTCTCTGCTCCAGTCTCAGGTCTTCCCTGCCAATGTTTCCTCCAGCCTTTCATCATCCTTCACTCTTCTGTACAGCTGTATCACCTGACACCAAATTTACTTGGTTATGGCCTATCCCTGATTAGAGAGGTTAGTGAGGAATTTGCTTTATCCACACAGCTGACATTAAATTAAGTATCTGTTGACTTAATATTGTACATTGATAGAATTTTCATGAAAGCTATGCATATGAATAAGAAGCTTGAAAGAAAAAAAAATATTTGGTTTTCAAATGCTGATCATATTATTAAAAAGTAGTTTGCAGAAATAAAAGCCAGACATTATGATGATTTTAATGGGCCAAAGGTATTAGGGATAACTGGTTTAGAAAATGAATGCTGCTACAGTGCTTGTCTGCCATGCATGAAGACCTGGGCTGCATCCCCAGCATTGCATAAACCAGGCAGGGAGGCACACACCAATAATCTGAGCATTCTAGAGGTAGAAGCAACAAGAGAATCAGAATTTCAAAGGTCATCCTTACTACAGAGCTGGACTACATGAGACCTTGTCTCAAAAATAAAAAGCTAATAATTATTGGGAACTTTCCCCCATAAGATTGTATAATCACTCTTAAACCTTGTTCCCAAACCCCCAGGATTTAAAGTGTGGAGGCTATCAGGCTCTAGGCCATAGAGTGAGCAGTTTTCAGCAGTTTTAATGTGAAACTGACTAATATCAGGGGTTTCAGTTCACTTTTTTTTTGTCTGTTTGAAATAGGGTCTCCCTGTAGCCCCAGCAGGCCTGGAACTTGATATGAAGACCAGGCTAGCCTTGATTTCACTTGTCTGCCTGTCTCTGCCTCCCAGTACTGGGATTAAAGGTGAGTGCCACCACGACCAACTCAGTTCACTTTTAAGACAAGTGTCTGTAAGTGGCTTTACAGGACTCCAGGAGTGTGGAATATTTTGTGTATAAACACCTGTTACTTTTTTCTGTGGAAAGAGTCCATATATCATATTCTCAAAGGGAGCTGTGATGTGTAAGAGGCTAGGAATTGTCATTTTAGCCAGATGTGGTGGTGTACACCTTTAATCCCAGCTTCTAGAAGCAAAGACAGGGGGATCTCTGGAGCTCCAGGCCAGTCAATGCTATACAACACAGTAAGACCCTAACCCCACCCCCTAAAAAAACAAAAAAAGAATTTGTCAGTTTTTACAATGGAAGTGAAATGCAATATTTAACAAAAGCTATCTCTTAAAAAGAGACATTATGTCTGGACATTGAATTGAATCATTCAATTCATTCAACAAACGCTGGACATATATAATCCTTGATAATGAACACAGTCATAATTGAATCAAAATGGCAAGGAAACTAGACAATATACACTGAAACACCACACCAAAAAAGAATATAGAACATGAGAAACTTAAATTCAAAACAGAAAGTGTTAAGAGGGAACATATAAGGACAGAACCGAGTCTGGGACCTAATGTAGTGATTATTTTATGTCAAAATATCCCAGAACTAACTCAACTACATCAAAAGAAAAGAAAAACTACACGTAGGCATGCCTACCCCCACACATTCTGACAGGAAACCCAAAGAAAAGTTTCCAAATCCTGTTTCCAGTAGCATCGCCCGTGACTACATGCTTTTGAAGACAAACTACCCTAGTTAAGTTTTCAGAATCGACACTTTATTCTTACTATAATAGAAATAGACTCATCATCTGCCGCCCAAGCAGCAGCAAACAGTGGCTACCTGTAAAGTTGTGGCCCATTAACCTCCTGCCCTTTTATTCCATTTCTTAGACACTAATCCCTTCAAAGAAACGACAAAACCATTTTCCCTTCCCAACAGCAATGCACTGTCCCCCAATGTTGGTTCTTTTGTCAAGAGATCAAAGGTACCCTAAAGTCTGGTTTTGCACCCAGTGAGGAAATCTCGCTTTTCTAGGCACAACTGTCCTCCCCTACTCTTCTCCCTAGCAGTAAATTACACAATTCAACTGAAGACACTGTCCTTAACTTTCTGAGCGAGGGAGACGAGCCACAATCCCACCCACCCGACAGTCCTAACACACCCTCGTGGGGAGGAGGACAAGAATCACACGGTGACCTCTTTGCTGGCAGAATTCGGGGAGAAACAGAGACCCAAGAAAAGAGCAGGCTGAAAAGGCGAACGCATGGCATGCCACATTAGACAGAGAGGAAGGAGGGCGGGAAAGGGGCTGGGAGGTGCAGATGTGGGGATGTCAGCGCTCCGTAGCCGCGGGAAGGACGCGAAGGGGCCCGGACCCCACACAAGTGTACGCAGAGGCCGGCTCCAGGCCACCCGCACCTCCTGGGCAGCGCTCGCAGCCGCCGGGGAGGGCGCGCTCCACACCCCAGAGGCCCGCGGCGTCTGCGGGAAGCGCTGACCTGGTCCGGGGGCAGCAAGAGGAGAAAGGCGTCCCATGCCGTGTCAGGCGGCGCGGGCCGAGGAGGCGGGCCGGGGCCGTGACACCCCGGAGTTGGGAGGCTGGGGGACACAATGTCCTCTTTCTCTCCGCACTCGCCCGGCCCCTCCCGGCCGCCTCCCGCAGGCC